GATAGTATAAAATATGAAAGAATAGGTTAGGAAGGATAAGAAAAGGTTAGGTTAGAATACGATTGAATAAGTATAAGACAGGTAGGATATTGCATATGGAATCGTAGGTTAAAAAATATGTAGATTAAGTTATGTTAGGGTATTGTAGGATAGGTGAAATCTATAGGTTAGGATAGTATAAAATATGAAATAATAGGTTAGGAAGGATAAGAAAAGGTTAGGTGAGAATACGATTGAATAAGTATAAGAGAGATTAGCATATTGCATATGGAATCGTAGGTTAGAATATGTAAATTAAGTTATGTTAGGGTATTGTAAGATAGGTGAAATCCATAGGTTAGGATAGTATAAAATATGAAAGAATAGGTTAGGAAGGATAAGAAAAAGTTAGGTTAGAATACGATTGAATAAGTATAAGACAGGCTAGGATATTGCATATGGAATCGTAGGTTAGAATATGTAGATTAAATTATGTTAGGGTATTGTAGGATAGGTTATGATATAATAATCTATGTAATGATAGGTTAGGATTGCCAAGGATAGGTTAGGTTACAATTTGTTAGTCAAGCATCAGCTAGGACGGATTATATGTTAGGATAAAGTAGGTAATGATAGGTTGAGATTGGCCAGGTTAGAATATGATAACTAAGTTGAATATAGGTTATAATAATATAGGATATTTTACTAAATATAATGAGGATATAATTGAGAATAAGATACAAATATTTTCTTCATATGATACGTTTTGTGAGGTACGAAATCCAAGATGCAAATGTTAGGGATTCGAATCGAATGCGTGAGTGTGTGTGTAAAGTAACGAGCTCGAACAGCAACAAGAAGCTGAAGCGGCATCAACAACATCAACAACAACAACAGCAAGAGGGACTGGTATGGTTAGCTGTGTAGCGACGGTCGAATTACCGTCGGCGCGAGATTATTATTTTTATTTCCACTCATGGCAACAATATGGCCGTTCGGCCGTCAGTGAATTGCGAATGTAAATGGATAATAACTCTCCAGAGTGTAGGACATTAATCAATTATTATTCTAGTAGTTATAACTGAATGAGACTGACCAATGAATGGCATCAGTGCAATTACGGGCCGTGATTTATGATGGAGAGATGATAGAGATCGCCTGGATTCAATTCTGGACCGGACGCGTGAACCGGCAGCAGCAGCAACAGCACCAGCAGACGCACTACTTACTTATCTAAAAACCTCTCCTCCACTCTCCTTCATCCTAGTCTCTCATCACGCAACACCGCATAACGCACAGCAGATTGCGAAGAACCCACCCTTATAAATATTAAAACAATTCATATTTATATACGCAGAGAGAACAATGCCCGGACTCCCCCATTCCCCATCAAAGTCAATTTTGATCCATCGTTCTCTTTCTCTCCTCCAACGAGAATAATCTCGAGAAATTCCATTAAACCTAATCGTAATTACGGCTACCAATAACAATTATACTCGATCCTCGTCTCCTCACATTTTGGTCTTATTTCATTCCTTTTTTTTTTAGCTCTTGTTGTAGTTTTTTTTTTCTTCTTCTTAATATACTTACCTCGAATTTATTTTCATTCTTGTATTTCTAATTTTATCTCTCTCTCTCGAGACCAATCCAAAGCTAATGACTGTCGATCTAACCGAGCTAGTGTATATAAGAAGATGATGAAGCAGGGAACGCGAGCGAGCGAGAAAAAACGTAATTATATAATTAGTTATGCTCAGAATGACAGCGTCAGGTATAAGGACTACGACAAGAACTAATCTTATTACGAATTAAATAGTATTTATGTTTTCACACACACACACATTCACTCACTCACTCAGAGTGAACGAACGGAATTCCGATGTAATTAAGGTCGAGATTACCGCGGCCGTTTGATATTTGAAATGAATGAAAAATTTTTGTTCTTCGACTTACCCGTTGATCGAGGTTTGGGTCATGAACCATCCCATGAACGCCTTGGCCATCATGTGCCAAATTTGCGTGAAAATCCATTCGGATTTCTCCTCGGATTTTTCCAAAAACTTAAGCGTCGCTTCGTCCGGTTCCAGCTGGATGAACTTGTGCAGCAGATCATCCGGCAAATTGTGTATTTCACAGTGATACCACTAGAAACAAAACAGACAAGACAACTAAATCAATTGCCGCATTTACTATTTCATCACTCTGCCTACTGAATACTCAATCCTTTTACTTTATTTCATTATTAACTCTTCAATACATATCTTTCAATAGGTTTCATAATAATACAATTGTACACAATATTTTTATATTTAACCATACTTTTTTAAGACTAAAAGATGCACCGGACTATAAGACACACCTTCAAATGAATGAAAAGAAATTTAATTTAATAAAAAGACTATAAATTAGTCAATTTCTCTATGTAAAAAGGTACAGTTTTCAATAGGATTCATAAAAATACAATTGTACACAATATTGTTTTATTTAACCATACTTTTTTAAGACTAAAAGATGCACCCGACTATAAGATGCACCTTCAAATGAATGAAAATTTAATTTAATAAAAAGACTATAAATTAGTCAATTTCTCTATGTAAAAAGGTACAGTTTTCAATAGGATTCATAAAAATACAATTGTACACAATATTGTTATATTTAACCATACTTTGTTAAGACTAAAAGATGCACTGTACTATAAGACGCAAATGAATGAAAACAAATTCAATTTAATAAAAAGACAATAAATTAGTCAATTTCTCTATGTAAGAAAGTGCAATTTTACTGATAAATACCTCTCATAGTCCGGATAATCTACTGAAACCGGACTAATCGATAAAAGTTACTTGATTGTATACAGGAATAAAGCGATAATTACGGATTTGTCGAAGCCGTACTATGCGAGGTATTGCTGTATAATTATGCTGTAATTTCAAGTAGAATAATACGAAATGTATGTGATTTGCTACAAAAGCATACGATGTATATATTTATTACATATTGCTGAATATATTTTACTGAGGAGACGTAGTATATTACTAAACAACAAAAAAATATATAGAATGAGCATTCGTCTTTTTCGACGGGATTAAATTGTGTTTTTATTGGCGCATAGATCGTGCGAAAGTGTCCACATCTCCTCCACATTTTTCTCTCATCTCATCCCCCCCCCATCCAACTACTATCCTTCAGATCCGAGACTCCAACGGCCTCTTAGTAACAATTTCGTGGAGACACCACCGCCACCACTTGGATGCCGTTACATTAACTTAATGCATATTTGGCTCTGAATTTACATTTGGCTGATTGGCTAAGGATGATGGAAAGTTACCCTCTGGGGAGGCATCCATCACTTACCTGGCGGAATCGAGAGATACCCGGCACCAATCGAACCACCCTAAAAACCTACCCCTTCTCACATCTTTGACATCTTATTCCACATTATTTATCGCCCACCCAATAAATTGAAATTGAACGAAATTCATTAGAACATCTAAAAATATGCAATCTTCTAATTGTCGCTTCTGGATTAGTCGGGCTTAAACCAGATGCTCGGAATTCAATGGCCGTTTAACATAATGCTACATGTAAATGAATAGAAGCCACACTGTCATCAGGTGCATTTACGGTGCACTGAAACGACATCGACGATGATCATCATCTTTTTTATCTCTTCTTTCCGGTTTTTTTTTCGCGTTTTAATGATGCTAGCAGATCCTAATCATCGTTTAACATGAATAAGGATTAGCTGGTAATCAAGGGAAGCCAACCATCCCATTCCGATTGACGTATTCCATCCGATCCAATACAAACGCACTCATAACATATGTCTGAATCATGAAAAAAATAATTAATCCCAAATCTTGATATTGTCTTGCTTCAAATGAAGAAACAGTAAGTTGTAAATTGAGAATACGGAAACAAAAGGATTTTCCTCATTAGCTGATGAGTTATGTGCGGAGTGAATGTAATTAATTGTCCTCGTGTGCCGAGTTAATTCGTTATAAATGGATTATCTAAACGTTGTAGAAAGTGTGTTTATTTATGGAAGAAACTGCTCGGCTCGGCCACGTTTCGTTTGTGTCAAACGTTTTTCCCATTGTGCGGTGCGAGCACACCCATATTTATTGGCCATTAATAAATTTTAAACAATATGAAATTGCAGCTGGAGAAAGATAGGAAGGAAAAAGGACGGGGCCGGCCTCTCTGCTTTGCAATGAAATCGCAAATAAATAAATAATAATAATGTGGAGGAGGAGAATGAAGAAGAAAAAAATGAGAGGAGGAAAATTGAGAAACAATAAATCGACGGCGAAAGTTTTATCAATTGTGTATAATCGTTTCCGATGACGCCGAATATGATTTACACGCGTTTCAAATCAACACTTTCCTAATCGATTACGATCTATGGAAGAGAGAGAGATAGACTTTACGTGCGGTGAATTACCCATTTGATTGTTGAGTAATCCACCGTAAGATAGCAATAATAATCGTGGGTTTGATCAAAATAAAACGACAGTTTTCAATAATTATTCATTTCAAATCCGTGTACTCGTTACATGTTGTTATTGAAGTAATGGTAGTCATAGAGATTATACACATTCAATACTTGGCAAGTATCAACTTTTAATGAGTCACTTGTTAACATTAGATTGGAAACATTTAAAAGTTTTACAGTTATTAAGTAAAATTTAGACGAAAACTCAATGGTCAATTTGCAAATTATTTTATATTTGGTTATGATTAGAAACATTTTTTATTTGGGAATTTTTAATAGTTTCATTAAATGTTATATAAAAGATTGGTAAGGTTTAGTCAAAACAAAAATTCGTAAATAATTTTAATAATTTTCAATAATTATTCATTTGAAATCCGTGTACTCGTTACATGTGTGTTGTTATTGAAGTAATGGTAGTCATAGAGATTACACATATTCAATACTTGGCAAGTATCAACTTTTAATGAGTTACTTGTTAACATTAGATTGGAAACATTAAAAGTTTTACAGTTATTAAGTAAAATTTAGACGAATATTCAATGGTCAATTTGCAAATTATTTTATATATTATGATTAGTAACATTTTTTATTTATGAATTTTTAATAGTTTCATTAAATATTATATAAAAGATTGGTAAGGTTTAGTCAAAACAAAAATTCGTAAATAATTTTAATAATTTTCAATAATTATTCATTTCAAATCCGTGTACTCGTTACATGTAGTGTTGTTATTGAAGTAATTGTAGTCATAGAAATTACACACATTCAATACTTGGCAAGTATCAACTTTTAATGAGCACTTGTTGGGATACATTAAAAGTTTTACATTTATTAAGTAAAATTTACACGAAAACTCAATGGTCAATTTGCAAATTATTTTATATTAGGTTATGATTAGAAACATTTTTTATTTATGAATTTTTAATAGTTTCATTAAATGTTATATAAAAGATAGGTAAAAATTAAGCAAAACAAATCATCGTCGACGTCGTTTCAGATTTTCAGCTTATTACAAGAATTTACAGTTTTCTTGTAATAAGTACCAAATGTGTAAAAATAGATTAGTTGGAAAGATCATATTTATATCTTTAATTTGCATATTTGTTGATGTACTTGATATGTGTGGTTAGCGAGTAATTAAATAAAATATGAAGACTTGTAAAAGAATATAGAAAAATTGTCATATCTCTATCACTAATTCTTATTGAGGAAAATTAATTACATCAGAAAATATGTAATATAAGATTTAATCTAGGGTAATTAAATAATATACTTTTTTTTAAAATGGAAACTGGACTAATCAATAAAAGCAATTTGTGTATGAAAAAATAATTTAATGAATTTATCAAATAGAACTGTAATGAATACGGATTGATCGAAGCCGTACTAAGCGAGGTATTGTTATAATTTCAAGTAGAGTAATAAGAAATATATATATTATAATTTTCGATTTATTCTACAAAAATTAAAAAAATATTAGTGAATAATTTTCAAAAATTTCAAAGTATTGATAAATCATGAAATTTCGATATATATTATTGTAAATGACTAGTATTAAATGCTTTATATAAATATCTAGATATTCTATATAATGACTACATGAATGAATGTGATATAAATTCGTTATTGATTTTTATATAACTGTAAACAAATAATAATTTAGTAAACTTAGACTCTAATTTCGACTCTTATTCCGTTTAAAAAACTGTATAAAAACACTCCAGAATTAATTATATTTATTTTCTTTTATAAATAAATGAAATAACGATTCATTTTTTACTTAAAAAAAACTTAATTTCTGTTGATGCAAAAACAATATTCGATTAGAAATAATATGATTCTGAAGGTCTCAATAATTATAAGCTATTATGTATTTATTATTATTCTTCTATAATAATACAACATTATATTAATATACACACATTTCTTCTTCGAGTATAATAACAATAATTACATATTTATTGATTCACACCTCAATAAAGTATCTTATTTGTGTACATCAACATAATACTTAGATACAAAAAGCAAATGCACTATTTAAGCCGAAATACTGCGGTTCTTAACAACCTCAACAACCTTTATATTTATAGCATTAAAGCTAATACGTTTGAATTTGCAAAATTTATTGCAGAAGTTTTTTGTTGTATTTCTTTTATTCTTATTATTGTTGTATGAAAACGTGTAATTTTGTCATTTCTTATTATTGCAATAACGATTATTATGTAATTAAAAAATAATTTAATTGAAGCTTAAATCTAAGACTTAATAATTAAAAATGTATTGATTAACCTCAGTAAATTAGTTTATTTGCATATATACTATAATATTTATAAGATAAAAGCTGATAAGTTTAAATGTGCAAAATTTTAACAAATGAAAATTATTTAAAAGTAGGCAGAAAACTTTATAATCATTTGCAGCAGTTTTTTTTCTTAAAATTATTGTAGCAATATAGATTATTATTATTATATAATTAAAAAATAATTTAATTAAAGCTTAAATCTAAATGTAATATAATAGAATTATTTGCAGTAATTAAAAGATTAAAGAACAAAAGTGTTGAAGTTTAAAGATTTAGGTTTGTTAAACATTTGGAAGGAAAGAAGGAAACACACGTTGCATTATTTATTGTTATTACTGGCGGCAGTTGTCCTTTCATTACAAATAATCCCGTTTCATGTTTATTCAGCCTAGATGAATATGTATTTTGTTTGGATGGACAAGATTTATTCTCGGATTAATAAAAATAAAATGTAAAAAAAAAGAGTAGACGGAGGAGAGACGCGGCGCTGCCCATTGTGGGTATATTCAAATTCATAAAAATCCGAATTAATGAATGCATTCCAATAAAATATCCCATGGATTTATGCGGTTGTGCATAAAAGGAAGGAGAAATAAAAAAAAAACAAACAAACATTCGGGTCGGTATCCTGATTTTTTATCCTCCCGTCAGTATTATTCTCGTTCTTTCTTTTGTTATTATTATTATTCGAGAAGATGGTTCGGTGTGTTTGTTTAATCGTTTTTGGGATATATCCGAAACTCTAATCGACAGGGCTGTAATTAAAACAGTCGGGCATCCGAAACAGCGGCATATGCCATCCGCGCCCCGAGAATCCGAAGAGAGAAAAAAAAAACCTAGGATTTATCCTTTTAATATTCAAATCAGTTGACCACGCTTGGACTTTGGTATGTTAAATTGGTATTTTTCGCCTCCCTCCTTCTGTCGTATTACCGTGCACATGATCGGATTTAAATGGGGTGGTTAATAGGTGTTATTTTCGAGACCGGGAATTTTTCAGTCTCAAATGAAGACCAATTATGAAGGATGGAATCGCGCGTCACGGGGCGATTTTCAATTAGTTTCCAACCCTCCTCCTACCGCGTATGCTAATAAATATATCAATAAAATATTAATCGTCTGTGGAATGTGACGGTACACCTTTAATCATCCTGACTAATCGAGTCGAGTCGCTCGGACTTTTCCCTCCGATTTTTCACCTTCCCCATTTGCATAAACAATTAGCCGTGTGTTTACAAATTATGAGGGATCAATCATCGAGCTCGGAGGTGGAACGCGCGTATTTCGTGAGGAGCTACCGAACGTGATGTATATAAAGGAAAACAGTGAAGGGTCAAGACGAGCTCAAAACCAAAAGAGATGAACCAAGAAGAGATGAAAACACAGAGAGAGAGAGAAAAAAAATGACTTACACGTAAGAGCAGCCTATCAATTCTCTGCTCGAAGAATAAACATAAATAATGAGAAGTTAATTAAAAATAATATTTTAGATGTTCGGATGCGTCTGGCGGAGGCGGCGGAAGAGGAGGGAACCAGTAGTTCGGCCACTT